CCACGCAATCACTTTCTCACTGTATTCAAGCCAACGTGTTTCCCTTCCCTTCCTTGCCATCATCCTAGATTCTCTCCTCCCACCGTATCGAATCCCGTACATGGAGAATTTTTTGTCTCTGGACATAAATTTTCTGAAATTTTGCTGATGAACTATGCCGGCAAAAGATTCAGGCCCAAAATTTGGACACATATTTCTCAGATGTGCATAAAATTTACCGCTGCAGGATTTCACATATGAGAAACAGCAGTGCTACATATAAGATTGGTGCGGCTTTTCAGCTAATCCCAATAGTTACAACCACACTGAACAGTTCCCACTGCCGTCGCTGCTGCGTTATCAAGGATCATCTGGACAATAACTTGGTGCGCTGCGGAGTGCCCAATCCATTCACCGATAAAACAGTTGATCTTGGCAGACTTCCACTGTAAGCTAAATTCGGAATTGCTTCTCATCGTTAAATAGTTTGTTTTCTAAACTAAGTAGAAAAAAAAGACTTATTTTATTTGACCTCGAACGACATAATGAAGAATCTTTGATGCACTATGATTACTAAAGCTGCCCTGCATGTAACAACAGGTTTTCCGCATTAACAGCCCAACTGAATTGTCAATACAAGCCAAGTGCAGCTAGGCCAGGCCCTTCGATTCTGAGCTGAATACTTCCGGCAAGCACTCATCGCCTTTTGTTTTGTGCATCTCCGAGCTGCCATTTACTTTTTTGCGGGTACCACTTACTAATACATGTTGTTCATCAATTGTGATCGCTATTTTTTGTACTGCAGTCGAGAATGCAGTTTTATTTCTTTGTAAAGTGCACAAGGTTTTTAAGAAAAAGCGAGAACGCAGTTGGCACGAAGCGAAAATGTAATTGGCACAATTCTCTTATTATTGCCGAGCTCGATTAACATTTTCCCAGTTTTGTTGCTTCATGGTCAATAGTGCATAGCCACTAAAAAAACGTGGCATTTTCAAATTAGTCCTGCGCAGATGATCATTAAAAGAAAGTGCAGGTTTCATGACACTTCAAACTGTTTCATAGACGAATAATGTACTGACTTTTCAGAGCAACAGCAATCGCACGTAAATATGAAAAAAGTATGCATTTGAATTAAAAAAAAATTTGTTAAATAAGCATGAAATCATTTTCAACCGTGTAAGATAAGCAGAATTTTCCAGTGAGGGTGAAAATCCAAAAATGAGGTTAAAAAAACATTTACGCAAATTTTCATTGTTTTCTGTTTCTTAAAAAAGGTGGAAATCCAAAACGAAGCAAAAACCGATCGTTTCGTTTTTTTCCATTTTCATGCGTTTTGTGCTGTGTAACAGCAGTACAAAACGCATATTGTTACGGGGTTGTCTGTGTG